TCTAGCCACCTCTCTGAGTTACTAATGACTGAGTCCTCCTATGCACACACACTGCACGTGGAAATACATTTGCATGCTTTTCTTTTGTTAATTTGTCCTTTGCTGATTTGATTTGCAGAGCCACAAAAAGGAACCTAAAATGAGTAGAGAAAAAAAAGAATTTTTTTCATTTCCACACCGCACTCACTATTTTTTTTAATGCTACCTTGTTATTTGCATTTCATTCTTCTAGACATAATCTATTTCACATAAACCTAAATAGTTTTTTCAGTGAGGCTATATGAGTAGTAAATTCTCTAAATTTTTGCCTGAAAATATCATTATTACCCCTTTTTCTTTAATGATAATTTAGTTTATCATAGAATCCTGTATTCTTATATTTTTGCTCAACACTTAAAGATTTTCCTCCATTATTTCCTGGCATTTATTTTGGCTGATGAATAAATAGTTATGTTATTGCTCTAGTGGCTCTTTTATACATAATTAGCTTTTTATCTGCTTACATTTTTTTTCTTTTTGGTAAATAATTCCCAGTTTTACTACAGTGCATCCAAGAGTAGATTTCCTTGTGTTGATCTTAATGAGGATTTTTTGTGCTTCTTAAATTTAAAGACTGTGTCTCTCTTCAAATCTAAAATCTACAAAAGAGAAATTCAACCATAAACTTTCCTTCTCCATACTATCTTCCTCAGGTATGACTAGACATAGTTTTGTATGCTACCAACCATGCCTCTCCACTCGACAATGCCTGCTTCCTTATCTCTTGTACTTCATTCTGCTCTTTCTAAGTGGCAACTTCAGATTTGTTTTAAAGTTCACCAATTCTCTATTTCAGTGCAATTTTCAGTTTACCACAATTAAGTTTTTAAGTTATAGTAAGCATAATTTGAATTTTAAGAAAATTTTTTTGTTTTTTTCCTTGATTCTGCCTAATCAAGTTGTGCCTAATCTTCCTTTTTTATATTGTTTGGTTCTTTTTTCAAGGATTATTTTGTCCCCACTTAAATTTTACATTGAGGCACAACTGACATACAGCACTGTATTACTTTCAGGTGTACAGCACAATGATTCAGTGTTTGACATACTGCAAAGTGATCACCACAATAATCTAGTTAACATTTGTCACCATACATAGTTACAAATTTTTTTTTAAAATATGGAATGCTTCACAAATTCATCCCTGCACAGTGGCTATGCCAATCTTCTCTGTATCATTCCAATGTTAGACTATGTGCTGCCAAAGAAAATGACATCTCTAACTTTTAAATTTCATTTTAAACATAATTATTTTAATTTTCTTTCATACTGTTCTATTATTTTTAGTTCTGAGGATACTGATTCTCTTATTCATTATATGTGAGGATTCTCTCTCATGTCAATTCTATTTTTAGTTTGTTTTTATTATGAGTTCAAAACCAATAAGGGTTGTTCTGGGAATCCTATAAGTTCTGACATCTGACATCGGAAGGATTCATATTTGCTTTTACTGGGGCCTGGGGATTTCAATTGTCCTTCAACAATTTTATGTTAATTTCTCCCCTTGGGAGCTGCCTCGCTACACAGACACCAAACATGACTTTGGAGCCTGGGGATTTTGGTTTCTCACTGGCAATCTTTCCTCCCCCCCCGTAAAGTCTGCGCCAAGTCTCCCCCCACAGTGCTTTGCCAAGCAGTTCTGGTTCCCTTTTCATGGGTCGGGACTTACCCAGATTTGTCAAACCCACACATGGTGTCACCTTACCCAAGAAGTGTGTCATCTCCCAGGATAGCTGACCCCTCCATCAAACACTGAGCCAGTGTTGTTAAAGGCAATTTTTTCTGAAAAGAAAAAAAAGGTTGTAATGAAAACTACTTTCAATAGTCACCTGCTTACTCTGAAACAGCAGAATGTCAATACTCTGCTAGATACTATATTAGCTAAGAAACAAAATGACTTTAAAATATGTTTAAAACTTGAAAATTAATAGGACTTAACAATGGGTTAGATTAAAAGATGTTTAAGTTCAGAAAATTAGAACTGAATTAAATCACCAATTTAGAAAATAAGCCTAAAGTTTACATGCTGCATTTTAACATCAAGTGGGATAGGAGCAAGAAAAGAAAATTCAAAATTATATTAACAAAGATTTAAGCAATGATTTAATTTCCAAAAGCTAATTTCTTACCTGAAAAGTATATCAACCCCATTTTACAAACAAGGCGGATTATGGTCAAGACAGAGAGAAAAAAGTATCACATTAAATTACAACACAAAGAATGTAAGCTTCAAGATAAAGACATACTCCAAATAAGATATAGAATAGCCAACAAGCACATGAAAAGATTCTTAACATCATTAGTCTTTAGGGAAATTCAAATCAAAGCCACAGCGAGATACCACTTCACATTAGGATATATGTGTGTGTGTGTGTGTGTGTGTGTGTGTATTCTTATATATATTTTTACTTGAGATATAAATGAATATATATATGTATATATTCTTACTTGAGAACATGCTTATTGATTTTAGAAAGAGGGGGCAACAGGGAGAGAGAGAGAGAAACATCAATGTGTGAAACAAACATTGGTGGTCTCTCAAATGTGCCCCAACTGGGGACCAAACCCACAGCATATGCCGTGATGGAGAATTAAACCCAAGACCTTTTGGTTTATGAGGCAATGCTCCAACCAAGCCACACTAGTCAGGGCAATAGTATACACATTTAAAAATAAGGAAGTAAGTATTGGGGGCACGTGGAGACACTGGAACCTTCACACATTGCTGGTGGATATGCACAAACGTGCAGCATGGCGGGAAAATCTGGCGCTATTTCAATAAGGTAAACAGTTGTCATATGGCCCAGCAATTGCACCCTTGGATAGAGACTCAAAATAACTGAAAACAAATGATCAGACAGAAACACGTACATGAATGTGAATAGCAGCACTATTCACAAAATGAAAAGGTGGAAACAGCTCGACTATCACAAGTGAACAGATAAAGAAATGTGGTCTATCCACATAGTGGAATATTAGCCATGAAAAGGAATGGGGTCTCAACACATACTACATGGATGAACTTTGAAAACATCACACTAAGTGAAGTAAGCCAGACACAAAAGGGCACATATTGTATGATTCAATTTATGTAAAATGTCCAGAATAAACAAAAGCATAGACACAGAAAGTAGATTAGTGATTGCCAGGGGCTGGGGAAAGGGGACACAGGAAATGATTGCTTGGTGAGCATGGAGTCTCCTTCTGGGGTGACGAGAATGTACTGGAATTAGATAATGGTGGTAGTTGTGCAAAATTGCGAATGTACTAAATGTCACTGAATTGTACACTATAAAATAGATACAGTGGTAAATGTTGTTTTCTGTGGGGAGAGAGGGAGGGCTGAAAGGAAGAAGCATGTTGCTGCAGCGGTGGAGCATGACCCACTCCCTCCCGCCGACCTATCGACGGGCCTGTCTCCTTACTGTGCTTCGCCGTCCGTACCTCCGGAAAGCAGGGTGAGGACTGCTGGCCTGTGCTCAGGCCCTCCAGTGCACACACTGCACAGATAGCCCCTCAGGTGGAAAATGAGGCAGCAATCCTCAGCCTGGGGCCCCCTACGCTGTTACACAGAGAGCTGAGGCTATAACTCATTTGCTAATCAGTACGTACACAGTGCCCACCCAGGTGCTACGCCAGCAGTGAGTAAGCTGAGACACCTAACTTGTATTCCAGTGCAGGGAGAGAAACAATAAATATGAAACTAGGAAGTAGATCATTTCAAGTAGCTAGAAGTGCTGTAGACAAGGGCGACCCCGAGAATGGGTGGGGTGGGCAGTTGCAGGCATGGAGCTGTGAGGAGGGAAGGCCTCTCAGAAGGGGGCGGCACTTAAGATGGTCGAATGTCAGAGAATGAGTTGGCTACGCCTCAGGAATATTTGGAAAGGTCCATGCTGGGTAGAGGGCATGGGAAGTACCGAGGCCGTGAGGAAGGACAGGGCACAGCCAGCTCAGGGTCCCCAGGTAGGCCAATGAACCGGAGCACAGGGAGAGACAGGTGGAGTTTCGGGAGAAGAGGACGGTGGTGACAGTGCGTGGGGCCTCATCAACTGGGGCAGGTGCTGGGGTTTCACTTGAAGGACGTCTGGGGACAACCAGAAGGCTTAAGAAGAGTATGATGGGATTAAAGTAACTCCAATCCTGAGAAAGACGAATGACCTAAGAGAGGGGTCAACTTGGAGCTAGATTTTTAAGGCCCCATCTGCTAGAACGTAAGAATCTGGTTATCACAGCCCCAGGAGACCTGCACCCTCTACGATATCTCTGGGGAAGAACTTGGGAGGTAAGTCAGCCCCCAAGAGTGACATGGAAGTTCATGTGGTTCCTGAGGTAATTCCAGGTGGAGAGAGCCCAGGATACCTGTGTGGATAAGGCCTTCGATGGGTCTAAAATAGACCCTCTCCCCTGCTCCTGGACAGGTCCATGCTACTGAATGCAGATGCCTTTTACTCAAGAGATAAACCTAACTACTCTATCATTTCAAATAAAATGAGACATTCTTCTTGGTAAAAACTAGACCAGGCAACTCAGTATTAATACATCTGAACTCAAACACTACTCTCTGATTCTCCTACAAAACTATTAGGTACAAGTTTCCAGAGACTCGATTAAAGGCACAGGACACAGTATCTCAGGAGAGCATCTATCCCTACTTTACCTATTTAAAAAGTTATTTCAGGGTGACTGTGTCCCCCCAGAGACATCTGGCAATGTCTGGAGACATTTTTTGGTTGTCATACTGTGGTGACCACTACTGGCATCTAGTACATAGAGACCAGGGATGCTGTTAAACGTCCCACAACACACAGACAGTCCCCAAGATAATGAATTACCCAGCCTGACACATAATGAGTGCGAAGGTTGAGAAACCTGGCAGAAAGAAAGGACTTCAACCCGCAAGTTCCAAAAATATCCTAATAATCAACCAGTGAAAACACTCCTCTCCCAATGTCAGAAAGCAGAACTGTAGGAGTGCTTAGCTCACACAACATGGCCATTCTAGTTTTTGCGAGCATCCAGAGTCCCGTGGTCCAGCTTTAGGGCAGAACTGAAGCTTTCCCAAGTCCCTCAGAATTTGACAAGGAAGCCAGGTAAGAGAGGCTCTTGCCTGTAACAAACAAAAGGGAATGTCTAATAGCCTGGGAATTGATGGCATTTGGAGAAATATATCTACCAGTTGGTAAGTGCAATTTTTCCAAATATGGAAAAGGATGAATCCGATTAGTCCTGTCAGCAAGTCAAGTGAAACTGTGCCCGCTGGTGACTAAAGAAGTGAAGATAAGACCAACAGAACAAGAACCGCCCTGGAGGACCATGGGGCTGGTCAGAGGCCTGGAGAGAGGAGGGGGAAGGGACAACCACGCGCCTGTCTTCCCAAATTAACACTGGGACACCCGCCTGCAGGCGGACGGCCTCTTCCTGAGCCAGGGAGACAAGATTCTTCCCTAGTCATTTCTAGTGACTTAGCACCCTCACTAATGATTCTGAGATCCTCTCAGGTGACAAAGAGGTAGCAGTAAGTGACAAAGTACCTCAAAATGAGAAAATTATTGCTGCTTCAGTTGCCTTTTAATTCTTAACATTTGAACAAAGGGAATAAGTTTTTCTTGCCTGCTATCATATCTAGCCTATCAAAATATCTATCTATTTGTATCAAATGAATTAATTTTTCAGTAGAAAATATATTCATATGGTACAAAACTCAAACGGTGCTACCAGGTGGACAGTAGAAAGCCTCCCTCCCGTCCTTAACTCTCGGCTACCTAGTCCCCCCACTGGAGAAGATGTGTGTGTGTGTGTGTGTGTGTGTGTGTGTGTCTGTTTTTAGTAGATACATTTCCCCCACAAACAACCCACAAGGTAAATTACTCTGTGCCTCGCCTTCCTTTTCATGTAGCAATATCTTTGCAGGTTATTTCCTATCGTGACATACAGAGCTTCCTTATTCTTTTTTGCTTAAATGACTTCATAGCTCGATTGAAGATGACAAAGTGTGTTGAAGTCCTCTACTGGCGGTGTGACTATCACAAACCAGGGCCTGTGCTTGTGACATGGTAACTCTCGGAAGGAAGAACTCACTCTGAGAGAGACATTACGAAGAGTGTGAGTGCAAGGAATTCAAGGGCGGGGGCTGGGGGTTTGTGGGATAAAACCCCAGTGGAAATTAATTAAGAGTTTTTATTTGTATAGATACTTTAAGAATAAAAAATTAGAAGAAATCCACCAAAAGAAAAGAGGAAGGAAGAAATGGATAAATGAGACAATCTGTAATCAAAGGCAATAGAACAATTTAATAAACTGTAACCCACACCACACTACAAATTATTTCTATTTCTAAAGAAATTAACCTGAGACAAAGAAAAAATGGAGGGCTCAGTGGGTGCTGGGCGCTGTGCTGACTCTACCGGACCTAATGACTGCCTGCAGCTGAGGCACCGTTCCCTCTCCCCACGCTGGGCTCACCCTGCCCACTGCACACATCAGGACACCGGTCGCACTCCCAGACACAGAGAGCAAACTGATGGGTGCCAGCGGGGCAGTTAAGGGACTGGATAAAAAGGGAGAAGGGAGGAAGAAGTACAAATTGGCAGTTACCAAACAGTCACGGAGATGTAAAGTAGAGCACGGGGAACAGAGTCGATAATATTATAATAACTACATACATGCCAGGTGGGTACCAGAATCTTACTGGGGGGAATCACTGAACTAATATAAAATATTGAATATCTACTATAATTGGAAAATAAATAAATAAAATATGAAAAAAATGGATATTACGTCTTAGAAGGATTACATTGCCCACAGATCTAGAAAAGTTGCTGATGTCTGTTTCCTGCCGCTGACAAGGGTCCAGGCTGAGGGTCACCAGATACACAGGTGACAACAGTGCCCTGGTTTAAAGGCCTCACTTTGCAAACCTCATCCTGACTCCTGGCCAGTGATTTTTCAGGTCAAAGAGAGGCTATTAAAACAAAATTTTCTCTGATTCTAAGGGAAATTCCCCGTAAGAATGAGGGGAAGGCAAGGCAAGAGAGACATTCTAGGGTTTGGAAATGGTCAGTCTGACTTGTCCGAGACGACTGTTCCTCTGCAAACTTATCTTGAGCATAAGCAACACAGTTTATAGGATGACTCAGATAAAAAGCAAATTCTGACATACACTCTGCTCTCCAGATTCACACACAAACACACACCACTCCACATCCTCCCTCTCCGAACACTGCTCTTCTCCAACTCCAAGCCTAACCACATCTCCTGGGGTTCACGCCTCAAGAGACACAGCCCAGACTTGCTGCTTAGTGCTCAGTAGTTCTCAGTGGTCGTTCTGGCCTAACAGTGAAGCCACAGCAACAGCAGCAGGTTATATTTCTTTAATATTTATTCACGTTATGCACTGTGCTAGGCATTTACATGCATTACCTCACTGAACTCTCAAACACCCTACTGAGCAGGAATTCATTATTGTTGTTACCATTTTCCAAATGAAGGAATCAAAGCATAAAGAGGTAACTGGCTCCTCTAAGGTCGGGTATAATTAGGAAACAGTAGAACAGAGTTTCAACCCAGGATAGTCAGGTCCTAGGACTTAAATTCAGAACCACCATGCTAATTCTATAGAGAAGTATAGAACAGGAAGGATCCAAATGGCTTCCTGATATGTTAGGCAGGTTTCATGCCTAAAATACTCATGGGCCATCCATTCGTGACACGATCTATTTTTAGCATTGCCTAGCCTGTGGCAGGGTTTGTTCTAGGCATTAAGGACGTGGTCATGATGGAGAGACAAGATCCCTGCTCCCCCAGAGCATACATCAGTGCTGGGGAGCAGACACATAGAAAATGAATGCTCATGGTGACTTCAGACACTGATACGTGCTGTGAAGAAAATAAAGCAGGATACTCGGACTAAGGGATGGAGACAGCAAACACCTCGGGTGGCAGGGCAAAGCCACATCGAGAACATGACATCTGAGCTGAGACTTGAACAATGAGTTGCTGGCCTAAAAGGCTGGGCAGGAATATTCCATATGGAGGGTAGAACAAGTGCAAAGGTCTCAAGGACATGAACTAAGCATGTTCAGTAACAATGCAGTGCAGCTAAAGAATGATGACTGAGGGAGAGGGGAGCAAGGACTGAACCCCAAGATGCAGGTGAAGACGTTTCATTAGGGTCCCAAGGCCAAGGTAATAAGCCTGGATTTGTTATACGAGGGGAGTCCTTTGGTGGGGTTCAAGCAGGAGAGTGGCGTTATCTGGTTCCCATCTTAAACACTCACTCAGGTTGTAGAGAACGAGTTCTGAGGGGGTGGGCTCGGGTAGAAAGCTAATACCTGCTAGGAACTGTGTTCAGGCAGAGGTGATAGCTGCAAGGACTGGTGTGGTAAACACTGGAGCACATGGACATGCTCTGGAGAAGGAGCCAGCAGGACTTGGTGAAAGACCAGGGGCATGAAGAGGGAAGAAGAAATGAGGGACGATATCTGAGATTTAGATTTGAGCAAGCAGGTGGGTTTCCAGTACCATTCTTGACTTCTGATTTTCTTGGCTGGATACTCCTTCTGTGGCAGCTTAAAATACTGCAGTTCCTAAGGTTCTTGATTTAAGGACCATTTGTCTTCGCACACTGTATTTTCTCCCCAGGTGATCTCACCAACTCCCATGGACTCAGCAGTCACTCAAGCCACACCCTGAAATGGCTCTCCATTCAGTTGCCAAGTCCTCCATACTCTGCGCCCCATACCCACCACAGGTGCTAATTCTCTCCCTCCTTGCTGTCCCACTGCCCCCACTGTGTCTCCCCTAACTACTTGCATATCTGACTGTCCTTACTTCCGCCACAGCCTTTGCCCCATTGATCCATTCTGCACACAATCGCCAACACATCCGATCATGCTACTCCTCATTCAAACGCTGGCTTCTCCCTGCTCTAACGGATGAAGTCCAAATCCTCACTAGGACCTACATGGTGAGATTGGGTCCCTGCAGTCCCATCTCTTCCCCTTTCCTTGTCATTCTCTCTAGTCACTCTGGCCACCTTCTCATTTCTCAGAAATGCCAAGCTCCTTTGTGCCTCTGAGAAACCCCCACTTGTCATCCCCTGACCCAAGCAGGTTTACGCCTTTAGTGCCGCTGTCTTTCGCTTGTCCCTAAGGGCCACTTCCTCATGATTTGCATAACTAATAACCTCTCTGGTGTGTGATGCTGCTTCCTTCCAGACCCTGAGGTTGCAGAATGCAGGGGTCCTGCCAAGTGTGCTCAGAACTTGGCATATGTTCTACCTTGCATGCCAGACTTGGTACTTGCTAAGTATTTGTTGAGTAAGGTGGAGAAATACTTACTCATCTAATAGTGTATTTGTTGAATGCGACTTCCCTTTGAGAAATGCAAGGATGGAGAACAATAAAAAAAAATGTATTACACCAAGTGTCTTTAAAAATCTATGAATCAACCAGCTATTAGTCTGGAGAAAGAAGGCAAGCTGGAAAGCTAATTCATATTCTTTCTATTCCCCACCCCACATAAGGAATCTGGTTTAACTCAGTACCCACCAGCTAATGCTGCTCTGGTCACTAAGCTAGTGGCAACAAAACCCCACTTCTTGGCTCACCCCCATGTGGCAGCCAGCCCCAGCTTTCGGGGTTAAATTTGTAAAGGTGTATAATAAAAGTTTTAGTATTGGAAACTAACTAAACTGCTACAGAGATAATGAGCTTGTTAAAACAGAAATGGTGAAAAGCAATAACTAACATGTGCTCAAATAAAATGCAGAATACTGACTCCACCCCGTTCGAGTTCCTTCCAGCGCAGGGACTCTCTGACCCCACCTGCTCACTTCAGCCACCCCCATCCTCTGAGAATGGCTGCCGCCGGACCCTCTCCAACGCCCCACTGCCCTGGCTGGTGTTTGTTCACTTGTTCCACCACTGCCACCACTTTTCCTGTTCTCTCTCTCTCTGTTTTGTTCTTTTTCCACTTTATTTTTATTTATTTTTTATTACATTTATTGGGGTGACACTGGTTAATAACATGCAGGTTTCAAGTGTACATTTCTAATACATGATCTGTATACTGCATTGTGTTTCCACCACCCAAAGTCAAATCATATTCCATTACCATAGACTTGGCCCACTTCAGCCTTTACTACCCAGGAACCCCTCTCACCTCTGGTAACCATGGTGCTGTTGTCTGTGTCTATGAGTTAGTTTCCCCTTTTTATCCCTTTTCCTTTTCACCCATTCCTTAGATGTGGGCCCACCTCCTTATCAAATAGTCACAGACAACTAGGCATATATTCAGTATCTGAGGCAATTAATAACGGCCATGTTCTCATACATCTCTCAAAGTGTTACTGTAAAAAAACTGAAAAATTTAGCCTTGGAAATTATTTTCTTGCTAATCTGTGATTGTTAAATATTTTAATTAGCTCTTTGATTTTCTTTTCAGCCAGATCATTTATTCAATCAGAGATGGATAAAAAAAAAGACTGATCAGCTCAAGAAATAACTGATAAAATGAAGCACTTGAAATCTATGAGGTGAAATCACTGGTCTGTACGTGCCTGAGCACCTACTTCTACCACAGGCTCCTTCCAGGTCAGCTAGATGGGTGCCTAGTTTCTGTGTTACTCTCTGTCCGAGGGTGTAGCCTTCAGGGCCTGGCCAGGCACGGACCTGTCTTCCCTGCTCACAGAAGCCCACCTGTGTGTGTCCCGGTAGGTGAATCATGGACAGTCATTATAAACCCATTTCTCTCTGATGCATATTCACCTCTCAGCCTCCCTTGCAGCTGGGTAGGGAGACATAGAAGAAAATGTCCTGGGCAAGATTTTTTCTCCCTGATGAAGAATTCTCTCACCACCCTCACATTTCCTGCGTTTGATGTGGTTATGTGTGGACTCAATGCCTGGAGCTGTAGCAGCTACATTGTGACTATAAGGGCAAGTCCAAGCATTGCAGGAATTCTGAACCAAAGCTGACAGATAAACCCGGGACTGGCTACTTCAGAAACGTAGGAAAGATATTATGTGCCTTTCTGCTGAAATTACCATTAGTGTATTTAATTAACTATATTTGTTATTTTTTACATTCTGAGGCTTTGACGGCGGGCCTTGCTAGCCCAGGACTGCCCCTTCCCGGGTTAGCCATTCCTAGAGATAGACTGACTCTCCCTTGAATGTGCCTTTCAAATGCAAATCAACCAATCCTGGGCCCACACCCCAGCCACCTCCTTTAGGAGCTCTCACACTCCAAGCCACCCTCCACCTGCCCTATTCACCCCAGGTTCCCAATAACAAGGACACCCCTGTGCCCCACAGCCTGCTGAAGTTATTCCGTCAGGCCCATCCTGGGCCTGTCTACCCTGCCTCGCAGGTTTCTTCCCCTGGAAACTGCAGTAAAGGCTATTGCCCACGTTTCCCTCCCTCTGCCTCCTGACTGTCCCGGGTGCTACCTCTCTAGGTGGCCCTAAGCGGCATGGTGTGCCCCCTCTTCTGGGAAAATGTAAGTAACAAATCACCCTTTCAGAGCTGACCACCCCCTGACCTGCCGGCCTCCCGTAGCTCAGGTAGCCAAGTGCCTCCTGACTCAGGTAACCTGCAAGACCCTCACTCCAGGGAAGTCTCTGCAAATGTAGGCAACTGTACCTTATCCCAGAAATGTAATGCTAGTGGTCATCAACACCAAAGGCCAGCTTTAAGCCTCAGGAGGTAACAATCAGATACCACTCTTGGTACCGAGATGTACTGTACCGTGGATGGGTTACTTCAAACACAGTGCTTTATGGTACAAAAGAAAGGAGGTGGGTCACAGGCAGGCCTGGCTGCAGGCCCCACCCACAGGTGCCCCTGGAGTCTTACGCTAGAGGGTTCTGTGACCGAAGGATTTCATGTCCAAGGCTATTTTGCAAACTCCCCCTTTAGACTGTCCAGGTTTCTTCGCTGAAACTCCTGATGGATGTAAAACTGTTCCCACAAACGTCGTTCAAATCTGTGAACAGTTTATTTCTACCGCACATATGTGATTCCTACTGGGAATGTTAGGAAAAATAAAAGCAGGCTGGGAAGAAAATGGAATGGCTGATAGGGCCTGTGGAGCAGGCCCTGGTACTGCAGCATGAGGCACAAGGAAGTGTCAGACAGGGCACCTTACATGACAGTCAACAGAAATGAGGCCACTAAAAGGTGTGTATGCAGGGGGTGCCCTGGAGACCACCAGGAAACAAAAAGTCAGCAGGAACGCTGGGTCAGAAAAAACTTGAACGGATACCAAACATACCGCTTATAAACAATTGCTTCTGGGGAAGAAGAAAAAACCTCCTAGATTGCACATTCCCTGTCGTAAAGCCAAGGGATAATCTAAGAATATCTGCTCATCTTTGGTGGGGATTAGAGAGCTGAGGGGCAAGAAGAAAATCGGGGACCACCAGTCTGTGCCAGGGACTATCCAATGGAATCACATTATGCAGCACCTGTTACTACTAAAGCGGGCTAGACACAAAGGCGTTCGAGTACTTCTGTTTAGCAGACTTTCTTCATTGTTTCATTACAGCAAAAACAGTTTTCAAGGGCCTTTATAGGTGACTTATAACCTCCAAAAATGCAGTATAATTTTTTCCATGGGATCTTAAGATGTTATTGATCTGTGGAATGTTATTCGATCTGCACATGGAACCTGTGAATGTGCTGAAGCGGGGCTGGAGCGAGGTTAAAACCTCTCTAAGGATGGGACCTCGAGCACACCTCTGCAAGCCTCCAGGGAACCTCAGATGGGGGAGGGGGAGGGGAGAAACTACACCTTGCTTGGTGAGGGCACAGGATGCTTCAGTCAGGGTTCAAGCCCAGGCAGGGGCTGTCACACTGCAGAACTATAGGATCAGAGGTCGATTCTCAGACATAGAAATGGCTGTATAAACAGCCACACCAAAACATGGCCCCAAGTGTGGGACCCCAGTCATCAGTAGGCAAATTTTCAACTGCCCGGGGCAAGGAGGGCACTTACAGAGCGTTTGTCAGCCTCTGCCCCTTGCTGGCCCTGCAGACAGGCGGTGAGCTTCTTGTGCGTGCTGTGGGACACCTGCTTCACCAGCTCCAGCCGCTTCTCCACCTGCAGACAGAGCAGTGGGTGACGTCACTGGGCAAGGGCAGGGACAGGAGTGGGATCACAGGTCTGGACAATGTGGGAGAGCGTCTGACTCATGTTTCTGCAGAGGTAAGGACCGCTGGGGACACGATACCTGATTCTGGAGGGCTGGAAGGAGAAGGGGCTCAGACTATGGGACTTACCGCTAACCATGCAATGAAATGACTTTAAATGTCTCCTAAAAAATCTCACCCAACCTGGTATTCAAGATGCAAGGCTCTGTTGTAAAGAATACAAAGTTGTGTCTCTTAAATAGATTTGGATGAGGACAGCTGGGACAGTTGAAACAACATTGGGAATGGCTTGGTTTTAAAAGGGATGGTATCTTGTTGTCTATCAGCAAAGGGCCAGCACCACCCTTACCTGAAGAAGGTCTTCACTCAGAACTTCAGTCCTTTCTGCCCTAAAGAGAAAAATGAGAAACATATCAGTCAAAAGTAAGACAAAACAAAACAAGGAACATAGTCTCATACTTACTCCCCACTGTCTCCACTGATGGAGAGATTAGAAAAACAGAGATATTAGGAGTAAAAATTTCTAAGAGAAAGTACAGAAAATCCTGAAATTTACCAAGGACCTTAAAATAACTGCAAACAAGAAACTCTGAAGAGTGTCCTGCCACATACTGAAACCTGGTTGAAGGAAAACATACATTTCTTTTCTTTCCAGACTTTTTTTTTTTTAAGTAACAGCATTAAATGGATTCTCCCTCCTGCATCCCAAACATGAAAACCTGCAAACACAGAGGCAGCACTGAATCCTGGTGGCAAATGCAAATGTCAGCACCGATTCTGGCGACCGGTGTG